TCTTCCCAGATAGAATATTTATTTTTTCAAGACGGAACACATTTACGGTAAACGATTTCCTGTCTGTTACAGTGCAGTAAGATACGGTAGCAATAATAGTTGGGTTTGTGAAATGTTTCAAGAATGAAAAAAACATTCTTTACAAGCAACATCTGCACTGGGACGATTCTTCTTTCCTGTTTTATATGATTCCGTCCTAAATATATCTGTGCTCTAGAATGTTGGTCAGACACAGACAACGGACAATTTTATAAATAAAGCAAATATTCGCTCATTCAAAGTCACCTGCAGCCCTGTTTTAGGGAAAAATATTTTTATATCTACATTTCAACTGCAGTTATTCAGCAGTAATTCACTGGGCTGATGCTACTTCCACAGCCTCAACCGTTCAACAAGGAATGTGTGTAGATTGGATAAAATCATTTAGTATTTGCTTGCTCATCCTCCATTTCAAAAGCATCTCATTCATTTAAAAAGGTTTTGACCAAACTCGCCCATTAGTCTCTGACCCGTCGTCTGCCGAGACACGAGCGTCTCCGACGGGGCCCCGCTTTCCCCTTTGGTGAACAAAGCGATTCAGATTCTGAAGCGGTGCCCCCGTGAAGGTCTGCAGCGATGAACAAGGCCTTCACTGAAAGGTCACGCGCACGCCGGCGTCAGACACACACGGGTGCCTGGAACTCATCAATATTCATGAAGGCGGCGATTATGGAACAAGACATCGATTAGGGGCGATCCCTCCAAGGTCAACTTTTTGTTCGCTTCTACCTGGCAGATCATAAACGCTGGTCCCCCCCCCACCCTGCATCCCTCCGCCCCCTCATGAATATTGATAACCCTCCCTGCTGTGCTTAATGGCAAAGCTGTGAAAAATGATGCTGGGTGTGTCGCTGGCACAGAATCCCCCTGAGCCAACTGTGGCCGTCGCAGACAGGAAGACGAGCCCAGCAGCGGGGGAGGGAGGGAGGGGGGGGGGGGGGTGCTGGAGGTCACCACAGGCGGCAGGGAGAGCCTGGCGTCTTGGTTTCTTGAGTATAATGGCGATACATATACATGTCGTAGCTGTAGCCAGCTGTGTGTGTGTGTGTGTGTGTGTGTGTTGCCTCGCTGCTCGCCTCGTGCCGTTGGGGAGTGAACGCTCCGTTCTGGGCATCATGGTGGCATTACATCACGCCGGGGAAATTCTAGGCGCAGAGAAGGCCGTTTGTTTCAAGAAAGTTTACAGCTGTGCTAAAACGGAGTGGAAGATGCTCGAGCTTACAAAGAATTGACAGTTTTATAAACCCCTCCCCCCAACAGCAAATTACCATCGATGGCATAGCAACCGTAATTAGGTCGGTCAGGATTTCGCAAACCGTGTAGGATACTTTTATGCGAGAATGAATAAACCAGCTCTACATCGCGGGACCATAAGACTGCTGATGCAACAGCCCTGACGTAAGATCCAAAGGTGAGTTGGAGACGTCAAATGCCTCAATGGGGGCGGGGCTTAGCTTATGGTTGTCTTAAATAAAATATCAAATTCTTTACATTACTGTATTGTATATACTGCTTTACAGGAGATATTCTGTAATTACGTTCTGTAAATGACTTTCTTGTATTTACTTATCACATTTCCCACAAGGACATGGGGGGGCGAGGGGAGGGGGGGGGGGTGAACTTCTTATCCAAAATGCACCGTGTGTCCTGGCTGTGTTGCACTTAATCTAGAAATTGGTGTCTTCTGCCTCTCCTGCCATGGATTATTCAGTTGTGATTGCTAAACAATAGCAGCGTTGAGGCCTTGACACCAAAACCTGACATCTAACATTAGATTCTGGGCCGCTGAACACGTGGAAGCAGGTAAACGCGTCAAACAGCACGGTGGTCGAGAACTGCAGCGGCAGCCTGAAGTCTCTTTGTTTGGATGGATCGACACGTGGCTTCAACCATGCCTGTCAAACAGCAGCCGCAATGCAAAGCACAAGACTGAAGAGATAAGCATAGAAATTTGACATCTGACATTTTTTTATTACTGGAGCGTCTCAGCCGTGACGTGGAATGCGAGGCAGAAATGCGAGATAAGGCGGTTGAATCACGATTGTTGTTCCTGCGGTTCTGGACTGACAGGATATCTGAGGCAATTCAGATAAAGCTCAAACCCAACAAGTTCCATAATGGCAAACATCCATTGCTGTTGGCTGGTCAAATTGTGAGGATTATCTGCTTTTTATATCATTGTATTTAATATCTCTGTGGCTTTTGACAGCTGGTTGGACTTAACCGGCACTTAATGTCATTTTGGGCTTCAGGAAACGGCAGATGAGTCGATTGTGAATTGTCAGCTGCAGCCCTGATTTCAGGATGTCAAGCATTCAGTCTAAATGTTTTTTTTCACAGGAAAAAAAAAAAAAAGAAAGTAAAAACTCAGGAACACCAATGAACTTGTCATGTTTCCCTTTCAGCTCATCTAATCCTAAATGTATTCTCAGTATTATTACTGCAACGTAACAAGCAGCACACAGATGTAGAAAAAAAACAAACACTGTTCCTCTCAGAAACTGCCTGTATTAATAAACATAATAAAAGCACAAGCTGCCCGTACAACATACTTGGAAGTGTAAATACTTGACAGTGAGAATAATTGCCATGTCAAATCCTCTTGGGGCTTCAACGTGCTCCTGTTTGTTTGATGCATGACTACTGCCAAGTTGACAGGCGAGCTGACACTTTGCCGAGAGTGAGATAAAGCTCCGAGACACATTTCTGATACCGGCTTGTGTTTTTTTTCCAAGTAGTGACAAAGCACTTAAAAAAAAAAAAAAGAGCGAGTTCTCAGTCTGCACGGAGATTAGAAACAAAATAGGCATTAATAAATAGAAAGAGTTCTCATTGTGGCAGAACACAAGGATACATCGGATGTATCAACACAAGGGTGTTGTTGGGACAGCAGTTTGGTGTTAAAGGCTGCAGAGGGTTAACAAGCCCAAGTGGGTGTAAGAGGACGAGGCCTTTTTATTAGACTCAACGATTGGGCGCCGGCTGCCACGGACGTTTCACTAAAACAGATCCTCAACACTTCCAAGGCGCTTACGGGTAAACGCTGGCTCCTACCACACCGGAGGACACGAAGCAGAGCTCTCTCACACTCACACACACACACACACACACACACACACACACACACACACACACACACACACACACACACACACACACCTAAAGAGGCTGTACGTGTCAGGAAGCAGACCACAACTAACGTGACCGAGATGCCAAATTCCCTCTAAACCTTGGACAAAGTGGCGGCGGGGTCAGTGGGCCTCCTCAGCCGAGACAAGGATGGGCTAACATACATCAACCCCCCCCCCCCACCATGCCCTCCCAGCCCCGCCACTGATTCCATCCCAGCGTTTGTTGAGTTGTGCCAAAATGAATGTCTTTAACACCAAGGTCTGCCTCCCGGATGGGGGCCGGCAGAGTCTGAGACGTCATTTGTTGCAGGGGGAGACGATAACCTTTCCATGCTGGGGGGGGGGGGGGGGGGGGGGGGGTCATACATGACAACACCAGCACCACCGCGTGCGCCCCTTCATGCAAGAACCTAAATGGGGCTGTGATCGTTTGCATGGTAGATTGAACGTTTGATGCAGCCCCCCCCTTCCCTCTTCCCCCTGTCATTGTTAACATAGGGTAAATCTATTTTGCTGCATCACAGTAAAGACATTATTAGATTGTGCTATCATTTTGGAGGGTACAGAAAAGGACACACACACACACACACACACACACACACACACACACACACACACACACACACACACACACACACACACACACACACACACACACACACACACACACACACACACACACACACACGGATTATCTCGAAGAAGCTTAATTGTTTCCCAGGCAACTAGTTCCCCCACGGGCCGGCACCTGGTCGATGTAACGGTAGCATATCTTGCATCTACCAACAGATAAACTTGTCCTCTCCGCAGGACAGTTCTTTATTGGGAGCCATCTTCACATATCGGCAGGTGTGGCGGGATAGAAGAAGATGGGGGGGGTTGTTGTATTGAAATAGATTAGAGTCCTCGAGGAAAACAACATCTCATTTAGCCCGCGGTACAATAACAGAAAAAGACGGACTGTGAGCGGGATGAAAAGGTTAGCTCAATGTTTTATCGTAAATGACGGTGAGGCTGTGATGAGACCCAGCGGGGGGGGGGGGGGGGGATTCATTCATGCAATAAACACGGCTGTCCGGGGCAGAGTCGTTCCAAATCGCCAGATGAGTCATACAAAGACGCTTTCCTATCATTTTAAGCAGGTGCCTGCGAACGAATGCACCCAATCCGAAACATGAATCCACAGTTTTCCTTCTTAAAGATAAAGAGTTTGGTGATGTTCTTCAAAAGCATGTTCAGCCAAATTGTTCCCAAGACACCGTGGTCTTCCCCCCTAAAAGCAGCTACTAATCAGTGACAGGTTTCCCCAAAGGTTGGCCTTCTGCCACGTCGGGACGGAGTGGTGCACGCGCGGCGTGCCACGCCACTCGATCGCCACCATATCGCTTCCTCAAAAGGGGCTGCGAGCCACGACAGCAGCACACAATAACCATTGTCCGTGACAAATCCCCCAGCAGAGTGAGGGAAGAGGCGGGGGGGCACACGAGAATCCAAACAGCTTTTTAAAGTCACACTGCTGATCATTGTCAACCCGCTTCAGAGCAACAATAACACTTGACGGGCTGCGCGCTACACAACGCGCATTGTGTGGCGACCGACAGCGGCAGCGGCAGAAGACGCCACAATCTCCGTAATTCGCCGGAGATTAACGTCACAAACAAAAACACAGGCGGCCGCATTACGTGAGCGCGGACAAAAGGGAGCGCGGCGCCGCGTGGCCTTTCCCGCCCGCAGACACAAGAAGCCCTTTTCTGCCGCAGCTGGAACATCTGCGCGTGTCGCGTATATGAGCCATTGGAGGAACGCCGGGAAAAGAGAACGTCTTCTTACCTGCAGTTTGGAGGTGGGTCGAGCGTTATTTCTGCCAGCTCTTTCTGAATCCTGGGAGAAGAGAAGGGTTTGATCGTTAGAACCGATGTAGTGAGGGAAGATCTCCAGAGGATGATAAAAGCAGAAGGAACGGACGTTTCGGTGTGCGAGTCTGTGTCCGCATCTCGTGACAAAGTCAAACGCCGCTTTTGATCCCACCTTTAACAGTTGTGAACATCCCGGTGCGACTTGTAACTTAAGGCCATACGGAGAGCGGAAATGAAGCGGTTCATCATTCCGGCGCGAGTAGAACACACAATATATACACGTCTCAAGTGTTTTGTCACCTTTGTCACCGTCTGTAGTGCAGACGATAAAATTAAAAAACGCAGCCGCAGGCACGAGGGCGACCGCGGCCCGCTGTCGCAAAACGAGGATGAGTGCGAACGCTGGTCCGCTGCGCTCACTTTGACACAAACACAGTGCTTCAGACGGCGGCGGCGGCGGCGGCGGCGGCGGCGCCACGATGGACAGAAGGCCCACGTGGAGACGTACGAAAGGGAAGACAGTGGAAGTATCAGTCTCTAGCCTTAACTCTGCTGGCCTCAACCCACCCGCATAATAACCCTGTCATCGCCTTGCTTTTTTTGTGGGGGGGAGAGGGGGTGCGGGGGGGTGTAAGTGCTCAGACAGGTAAGTGTTGGAGGCGTGGGAGCCCGTGGAGCTATTCAAACAACGCGGGCTGCAATGGGAATTCGTCTTTGGACCGACATCAACCAGCTCCGTCCTCTCTGTGGCTTTAGTGTCACGCTGGACGTTTGAAAGGACAACGCCTGTGGGGACTTAAGGCTTTTCTTTTAGAACTTCACACCCCCGGGGGGGGCAGAGGGAGAGGCCTTGACTTCAACCAAACAAACCCCTGCGTGAACGGCCGGCCTTCTCTCCCGCTCTCTCGTTCTTACCTCTTGGCACTAGTTGAAAGTTTAGCGGCGGTTTTACTGGAGATCTTGGTCTCCTTCTTTTTGGGCTGCGCTTGCTCGCGCTCATGTTCCGGCGGCGCCGATTCCCTTTGTTCGATATCCGAGCTCCCCCCGCTGGTGCTGGGGCTGTCGTCCGGTCTCTGCACTTCGCTGGACATCGTGGGCCCCTGGAAAGTAAAGTCACACCACAGCCCAAATCCCCACCGCCCCCCCCTTTCCGTCAGCGCGGGGCAATAAAAGATGTCGTTATGTAGAACTGGTCGGGTTTAGATTAACCTCAGTTTAGGTGGGTTCAATTAAGTTAAAGCGGCTGATATAAAGACGTCTCAAAGCCCACAGGGCTGTGAATTACAGCTGTACGGGTCCTTTGTTTAAAAGGATATAACAAGGCAGCCTTTTTATGATCTATTAAAAGGGATATATATATATAAATATATATACACACACTCACATTACTGGCTCATTAGATTTACTGGCCTCGATTGACAAAACAGAGCCTGTGGCTTTTTTCCCCCTTTTCTTATATTAAGCAAATATTGCTGTTGTGGTCGGAGGTCACTGGAGTGAGCTAATAAATTGATAAAATAGCCATTTTATTGCCCCGCTGGGTGATTTAATCTCAAAGCAACACACATCTCACCGGAGAGACAGATCAGAAAGGACACTTGGAAATGAGGAGACCGTCCGTGGAGGCGATCATTGCCCCCCCCCCCCCCCCCCCCAACAAAGACACGGCTAAAACAAATACATGTACACATGTTGACTTGTGTAATCGGTGGACCCGCAAAAAGAGTGTGAATGTAATCCCACAGATGAAAACCAGGGGGACATCTTCTCCCTTCTCTGGTGCGGAGGGGGAGGCGGAGTCATATGACGTCAAAATTAAAAAACCACGCCGCTTCGTTGTCTCTCAAAAGAGCGGGGGTACGCGGAAAAAGTTATATTCTCCTCGAGGAGAAAAACAGACACGCAAAACACACAATGTCCCCGGGGACAAGTTGAGGCGTCCGTGTTGTTACCGGACGTCAGTTTAACGCGCTCGGTGCCACCGGGCGGGTCAACGTTAGTGGGGGGGGGGGGGGGGCAAAAAGACAATAGGGGTCAACCGGGAGGGGGGGGGGGGGGGGGGGCCGTCCGAGAACAGCATCGAGCGCGAGCTAACGTCACAAGGCCGGCCGGTCGGTCGGTCGGTCCGGGCGGGGGGGGGGGGGGGGGGCGTTTTTGTTTTTACCGCCGATGGGGGTCATTTAAATAAAGAACCCGAACGGGCCTCATTGTCCTTAAAGTCATTGAAAATACGCAGAGGAGAAGGCGTTTCTGTCGGGTTGGTCCCGAACAGTCAACGGCTGATGGGAGGACGGTTCCGCGGCCGGGTGGTGGTGTTGGTGGTGGTGGGGAGGGGGGTATGCCGGGGGGGGGGGGTATGTGGGGATCCTCGCCGTTTCTGGAGTGTCCACATTGTGCGTTTGAGTGCAGTGACCCTGCCTCGGCACAAAGAGAGGCTCGTCCCACACATCCAACATCCACCACCACCACCACCACCTCCTCTTCCTCCACCTCCTCCCTCTTCTTCACTGGAAACAAACGACATTTTTTCACGGGACATTTGCTTACTTTCCGCGTGTCTACGGGGCGAAGCTAAAGGCGAGCGTCGGCGTTGTTTACCTGGCGGCTGGCCGTCGATGCTGCAATTCCGCGTCGTAATCCCACGGTAACCGGGAAAAAAAAAAGTATATCCCTCACACGGCCGTCTGCTCGCTCCCGTGTCCCAGCTATTTAACTGGAGGGAGCCGCGGCAGGGAAGCGATTACAGAAGAAAAAAAAACCCAGGCAGCCCCGCACCGCCTCCACGCGCGCTCCCGGGCCGCGTGAGCGCGTCGCTCGTTCACGTGCGCTGCATTTCGAAAAGCGAGGTGGTTCCGCGCGACACCCGCGTTGCGTGCAGCGCGATTACCTGATGATTAGGTCACTAAACAGGGAAGATGTTGGTCCCGTTGCACGTAAATTGACCACGTTGACGTGTAAACAGAACCCCCCCCCCCTTTATGGTTTCCCTCCCGCATTTTCTGCACCCCCCCTCCCCCCATATAGCAGTGCCTGGGGGCTTGAAACCTCTGTGGTCATTAGGGGTGGTCCAATGGCGACAGGGGTTTTCACATGTTCCCCTTAATATGGAAATGCCAACACCAAACACGGTGGTGTCATAAGATACTTTGGAGGGAAGAATCAATCATAACTCAGCAGGAGATGAAGCAATTCTCTTGATAATAAAGCTAATTTCATCCCAAGTCTGTCGTGATGAAATGGTTGAACCACCTTCTCTGTTCCTCGGACCAACGTTTCAACTGTCGCCACACTATTAACCTGCCGTGAGCACGTTTTAATTTGCCCTTTGGTTGTCTTAGATGTTAAGTACCTGCTCAATCAGAATGAGGTATCGCTATGAGTGAGTGGGGCCACTGCCTGAAACCTGCACTCAAGGGCCCGGTTCTTATCCCCTCCTCAACCCCCTTTATACGGATCTGTGAGAGCCCAGGGCTGAAAGTCCTCTGCTTGGCCTTCTAAACTCTTCGTGCACACTTTCCAGAATGCAGACTCACGGGTACAAACCACAATGCTACAGGCTGGTGTTGCAAGATCAAGGGCAGGATGAAACATCCGCCTCTCTGTGGTTTCACAGAGATGTGTCAGGGCACTTGAGGTCAAAAAGTGTTGCGCTTTTCATCATTCAGTGTTTGAAGCCCTCGCAGCACCCGCTGACACTTCATGTCACATGGGATGGAATGATGGAAATGGGAAAGATTCCCCGTGTGCCACTTGGGGGAGGCATTCACTGGATATCTGTAAATGGTTGCAAGGTGTGTGAGGCTAAACTGAGTGTTGCAATCACATTAACAATGTCAGTACCTGTGAAATCACTTACAGTCTTTGAAGTTTCAGTTTTTCAGTGCTATTGCTGCTGCTTAATGATGGGAATTTTAAAATGGTTAGATAAATATGAAATGTGAGAGTGAACTTCATTTTTTGTTGTTTACTGACATTCGAGCCTGAACTGCAGGTCATACCGCGTGCACAGAGCCGCCAATGTGCTTTCAGGCTGAACGTGAAGTAAATATCAGACGCTTTGAGGATTCGTACGAGCAAACAACAACAAATGAACCCTTCGTGGGTAGAAAATGTGAGAGCAGTGCAGCTCTACATCTTCAGTCAAATATAATGATCAGAGCGCCGGGGTGCATTTAGATGCTTTCGCTCAGCGAAGAAGACTATGATGCAAAAAGCTCAGAGAAGCTGGGAAGTGGTTCTTCGAGTATGAATGCATCCGCATGCTGTTCCTTAAAGGTCAGGAACAAACCCCTGACCTTCAGTCTGGAGTTCAGGATTTGAAGGCACGCAAACGGCAACCTGTTCTCACCCCTGAACTCGTCAAATACGGGCGATATCGAGTCATTATTAAACGTTCGGTTCCCACGGAGCAGGCGGCTCAGGAGGTGGATGACTCCAACAAACACAGGACCTTCAGCCATCCCGTGCAACATGTTATGTTTGGTCGCGTTTGTCACTTGCTGGTCCATCGAGTTAACGCCACCACACTTTTTCTATTTCCATTACTAAGTTTGTCTCGAAAAGACTCATGTAGGAGACCCTGTCACGTCCAAAAACGGACCCCAGAGGGGCACCGAGCCGCTCGACGGGCGTGAAAAGGATTAGAAAAGTCCACTTTACAGTCACAGACTGCATTGCTTCGTTCAAAAGAGGAAGTGAAACTCCCCGTCCACGTGGGGGATTTTCATTCATTTGAGGGGATTTAGGGGAGCAGGATTTGAAATGCATATATACATGTGTGCTATTTAGATGCATTCATCCAAATTAACAGAAATGAATCACTGAAAAATAATCATCTTCTCGTTTGTGGTGTAATAAACTAGTGTAAATGAACTAGAGCATAATGTCCCCAAACCGTGAAGTAACTCAGAGTGTCGTTGAAGAGTCAACGCATGCCTTAAATAAGTAAAGCCTCAGCTCAAACAACACTCTGCTGCTGCAGCACTTTCACGGAATATTTTAAGTTAATTCCATCTCTCTCGATGCGAGACTGTGCAAACACCCCAAAAAAAGCTTTGACACACTTATTCTGTCTCTAAGAGCGCGAGTGCATGTCCACATTTTGTCAAACAACCACAGGGCAGAGTAGATGCAGTCTGCAGCTGTTACTCTTCTATTATGTTTACCTCTAAAATGTGTAGTCGCGTGTATATAATTACACTCTTCTGTCACTCAGTCTGTCATTTCAGTTCAAGCATACCTGCACACACGACTTAACTGGTGAATTAGTAGTCTCATATCGTGCCATTAAATAAAATGACAGCTTTGGTACAAAAGTCCTACGAGGCCAAATTGTTGCCTGAAAACAACAGGAATGTGTTTATTTTTAAAAGGATTCAATGATCTTGATTTGTTTGCAAAGAGCTTCTTTGCATTTATTGTTATTTTTATATAAGGTTTACTGTTATGGAGCAGCAAAATGTCTTACAATGCAACATCTGCTTGTGTCAACTAAACTATACTATATATTACACTATAAAATGTAAACTTTTAAAACCAGACAACAGTTTGGTTTGCTCCCCTCAAATCTCTCATGTTAATTTATTAATCTGACTCACCCCAAACCTGTACTCGTTGTCATATATTTGTCTTTCACGCACAGCTCTCGGTCCTGAAATGACCCAAATTCCCCACAAGCATCCTTCAGGTTGTATCTGATCTTATCCAGTACATTTCCATAAACAATTCAGGGTCTACAGATGGATCGCACCATTTACCGCCATTTGAGGTGAATTATCATGTTTAATGCACATCACATGTGTGACACATGCCACGTCCGATTGCATCGTCCGTCTTCCTCACTACTTATGTAATACCGTGTTGTTGCATTTCTGTGAACCTTTCATTCACGTTTCCCTTGATTTCTATCGCACAACAATTGAGAGAGGATTCCTCAAATAGCTTTAAAGTGCTCTAGTTTTAATGTTTACACACCAAACATATCATGAACGATATGATGTAAACAGGTAGAATTAGAGAAAATAGACCAACTACAACGCAGACGTAGATAATATACGATATGATTAGATATAACACAACATGACACAAGTAATATTGCTGAATAATACTACTTTCAGTATATTCTGCGATCAATACTTTCAATGCAGACCATCAACATTTTTTACTGCTAATTCCCTTCTCTCCATTAATTCATAGATCTGATTTTTATGATCCAAGCTCTTAATCTGATTTGAGCATTTTTATACTGCAAATATGTTAGATTTGCACCTTTATTGTTATTGTTACCTTGACCTTTTAGATTTGAACTCTGCACAGCAATCTCCCTGCAGGATAAATACATATCTATCTCATCTTGTTTGTTGCCACGTTCACTTAAATAAAGGATTTGAATCCCCCCCCCTCCGGTTAGCGGGATGAAGATTTTCCACCATTTCCCCCCTCACTCTTTCTCAAATGGTCTTCAAGTAAATCACCAAAGCCTGCACGACCAACTTACAATCTTATATCATCTTATCACTGTAAATGTAAAACGTGGGTAGCTGAGGGCCAGAGCCTTTATTGTCTGGATTAATAAGCCTATAGTCGGAGGTAATGGCTTACTGGAACCACTCTTCTTTTCTCCTGCCTCCAGAGACAATTCTCCGAGATCTGCAGGAGCGCCCGAGGGGAAGCTCGGTCGCAAACTGTGAGGAATAAATTGTTCAATAACTGGCTCCAAAACCGGCACTTGATGTGAAACCCACTCCTCCCGTGTGGCATGTTGGTTAATTACACTTATGAATATTCTGGGCAGATTTCCTGAAACAAAGGGAAATTAATAAATAATGATCATCCGATGGGGATCAGAGTCTCCCCCTCCCTGTGTTGACGGTTTGAGGATCAATAAAACACACACAGGCTCAGTGTGGGACTGAGGCGTGATATCTTGCTTTGTTTAAATAAAGATTTAGTGGGTTGAGGATGTTTATTTTCACAGTGAAATGTATTGGCTTTAGTTCTTCTTTGCTACAGAGTCTGGCGGTGTAGCTTTTACATATATACATAAGTATAATTTACAACTTAAAATATGAATAATTAATTTTTTTCTGATTTTTGTCAAATGATATTCGGACTGCGCTGAGAAGGGTGCATTAGTCGTTACATTTAACGTCTTTTTATCAAGTAAATGACACCGTTTAAAGTGAAATAGGAGCTTAACACTAAAATAAAACCGTGAGAAGTGGCGGGAATAATTACTCTATACCCCGGAATAATGGATGCTGTGCTAAATAGAAGCCAGGCAGATTTTCAGAGCAGAAAGAGACCAGGAAGCGAAAATGGTCCGCTGTGAGAGGTATGAAAAGGCACATTAGTGGTTCCTCAAAGAGTTTTCGAGCCTTGGATTTCCTTTTGAAGCCGTGAAGCTCACCAGGTCTTCGCAGATCTCCCGATCAGCTCAGTAAACATTTCATTCACCGTGACTGATGAAGGTGACAAAGTATGGAAAAGCTACAATTACCGCCTTATGCAGTTATACGCCTCCACCATCAGGTTCTATTAGACATATTTGTTATATTGCCACAATTAGTGTATGAATTCTTGAATTATGGCTGTTTTTTAGGTCCTCTTGGACCACATCATTTTAATCAATTAATCAGAACTATTGTGTTCACGAGGGACGTGAGGTCCCTGTGACCTTGACCTTTGACCTCCAAAATTAAACACGTTAATTCTTGAGTCCAGGTGGACGTTTGTGCTATATTTAAGTAAATTAGCTTGAGGTGTTCCTGAGAACACTAAGTTAA